GCCTCCAGCCAATACCATGGCTGGAGAGCTGGGTATTTCTTCTTTATTTTATTATATTTGGTCTCCTGAGTCCCTGATCTATTTTGAGTGTCCAGTATTAAATTCCAGTAAAGCTTCCCCTAATAAAAAATTACAGTAAAGCCTCCCTCAATAAAGATTTCATTCGCCCACCTTGCTGAAAATCTGCCTGTCTGCTTTCTTGATTTCATGCCATGGAGTGGCCAGGGAAGCAACCTCTCTATTCTGCCATCATCCTAGTATCCTCTCAGAGGAATATTTTTAAGTAAGCATTATTATTTATTGAAATTTATAGAGAACAATGTATATCAATGAATGCTGGCTCCATTCTGTACTTCAACTGGATCATCAAAGAATATTGGCAGCTCCCAGAAATGGTGTGCACATCCCTCCAGTCACTATGACCTCCTCTCCTGAAAGAATACCACTCTAACTTCTGCCGCCAAAAAAAATTCTTGTCAGATATTGACCTTATATAAAATCATGCAGTACGTTCTCTTTTTGTGTCTATTTGGACACAACATAATTCTTAAAATTAACCCATGATGTTATTTGTATCTGAGTTTCATTTAATTTTGCTGCTGTAGAGTTTTTTGCCAAATGACCACATGACAATGTATTGATTCTTTCAACTCATGTGGAGATTTGACACTTCATAAATTCCCAAATAATGATCCTACAAACTACCATGATGATATCTTTTGGTGCACATATGTTTGTACTAGGTTTTTAACCCCTGTTCTTTTACTTTCACTCTCCTAACATGGTATTCTTTCAGGGGTAAAATACTCATTCTTAATAAAGCACAACTTACAAACTGTTCCTGTAAAAATATTCTTGTCCTTTTAAAATAGAACTTTTCTACAATATAATCAGAAAAAAATAATCTACAAAAACATCTTATACATGTTTAATTACTTTTCTTTTACATATATGTGCAATCTTTCTGGGATTGGTATTGTATTATGCTGTGTGTTGTTTGAAAAATAGTTATTAACATTATTCCTCTGGACATCCAGTTAATACAGAATGTTTACCGAAAAGGTCACAGTACATTAGCCATTACTGCTTGGAAATAAACAGCATGCAGATATTTCTTAATCTTGTTCTACACTCTGTTCTGTTCCATTACCTTGCAGCTATGCTTACCTGCTTAATTATTATATGGTTATATTGTGTCTGAGTAAATTTCCCTAAAGATTAAAGTAACTGCTCTTATTGTGTTGTTTTTCTTGCCTAATGTGTTGATCATACTTGGTCTTATGCACTTCACATAAATTTTAGAAACATTTTGATATATTTAACACAAAAAATATGATGACATTTAGATTGATATTGGCTTTGGCCTACACATGAATGTGTAAATAATTGACTTAAAAGATATATCTCTAATATCTCTCAGAGATTTATACATAACTTTTACTAGGTGTACTCCTAGGTATTTTATGTTTTTAATGCTGTTAGTGTTTCTCTTAGGAAATGTCCTAGGAATGAATTCCCTTTGTTTTCTATTTTATTTTTTATTTTCTCTTTTTAGATATACATGACAGTTGAGTATATTTGGACATATTTATACAAATATGGAGTATATCTTATTCTAATTGGGGTCCTAGTATTGTGGTTAGAAATGATGTGGAGGCTCATTATGAGGTATTCTTATATGTACATAAGAAAATTGTGTCCAACTCATTCCACTGTCTTTCTTATTCCTAGTACATTTGGGGTTTTTATGAGCTGGTTTTTCTTATTTCTTTCATTCATTTTTTTTTTCTTTTTCTTTTTTTTTACAATTTGAGAATTCTGAAAAAGCTAGGATAGTATAAAAGTTCCAGGTAACCCTGACCCAGATTCCACAATGCTACTATTTTCCCATATTCTCCCCTCCTTCTGCCACATGTGTCCTGATACATTCATTTATCCATGAATATATAAAATCTTTCTGAATGACTAGTTAAGAGTAGATGGATAATATGATGTTCCCCTTTACTCCTAAAATACATTCAAGAATTTCTTACATGACCACAGTATAGTAGCTAAATACCATAGACTTATTATAATATTGTGTAGTGCATTAGCCTTGATCATATTTTTATCATTTTTCTAAATATGATATTCACAGCAAAAAGGATACAGTAATGTGCTGCATTTAAGTTCTCATATTTATATAATCTTTTTATTATGAAACTCTTAGAATTTTTCTTTGCTTTTTATAACAATATTTTTTAATACAAGTCAATAATTTTATAGAAAGTCCCCATTTTGAGCTGTGGCAATAAGCAAAATGGTTAAGTACTAAAGTATATTTAAATTGATACCTGAGATTCCTCTACATAAGTGAAAATTGCCTTTGACTTTTTTACAAAGTAGAAATTGAAACTATATATGTCAGAAAAATTAGTCACAGAACACAAGTCTTCCTGAACTTTTTGCACATGAATTTTTGGTATTGCAAAGAGCTAGTGCTATAAGTATTATCTACAGCCTGTAGCAATCACTACTCTCCATTTAGGTGAACTCACTTGGCTTTCATATATGATACAGAACATGGAGTACTTGTTTTTCTGTGTCTGGGATATTTAACATAGCATGATGTCCTCCAATGCCATCCATTTTGCTGCAAATGACAGTACTCCATTCTTCCTAATGGCTATGATACCACAATTTCTTTTTTTTCCTTAGTAGAGACATTTTACTGGAGTATCATGAATAAATTTATTACAGAAATAAAATGTATATTTCTAAAGAAAGATGAAGAATGCTTTGCAACAAGCACTCACCATTTTATATCTTGAATTATGACCAGTTACGGATCTTATTTTTATTTTATTTTATTTTGTGTGTGTGTGTGTGTGTGTGTGTGTGTGTGTGTGTGTGTCCTGGTACATTTATTTATTTCTTTTTTTGCACTACAATTTTTAATACACCATTATATCATAATTTATCATATCTCTGATTATATATAAGGTATGTTGACACCAAATTCGCATCTTCATACATGTATTTTGTATAGTGATGAGGGTTTACTTCCACTATCCATGCTATTCCCCTTCTCCCTCCCTTTCCCTCCCACCCCTATTCCCTATCTAGAGGTAATCTTCCTCCCTTGCTCTCCCTCTCAACCCCATTTTGAGTCACCCTCCTTATATCAGAGAAGACATTTGGCATTTGTTTTTGGGGGGATTGGCTAACTTCACTTAGCATAATCTTCTCTAATGCCATCCATTTCCCTGCAAATGCCATGATCTTATTCTTTTTTATTGCTGAGGAATATTCCATTGTATATAAATGCCACAATTTCTTAATGAATTTATCTTTCAAAGGCACCTGGGTTGATTCCATATCTTAGGTATGGTGAATAGTGCCACAATGAATATGTGAATGTAGATTACTCTATTTCACAGTAAGTATAATGGTCCTGGCTGCTATTGCTGCATGATACATTCTCCAAATAAATAGATAAACAAGTAAATAAAATAGCAACACAAATGAAAAACACATTTTATTTTTCTCATGATTCCTGACTCATAAATTTGGGAAAGGCTCTTGGCAGTCGCCTCTGGAATCTGTCATAATGTTGCACTTGAATGTCATCTGGAGCTGAGGTCACTTGAAAGCTTGACCAACCTGGGAATCAAGGATAGTTCATTCACATGGCTAGCAGCTTGAAGTTTACCTGGGGCTGCTGACAGAACCACCTGCAAATACTCTCTTCCACATGATATTCTCGATTCAGTAGATTTCCCATAAAGCAAACATCCTAAAGAGAAGGAGGCATGAATGTATAAGCTACATTCCTAAGTCAAGCCATGTTCATGTGGACTTCACCACATTCTATTGCTTATAGTCAAGTCATCATGGTCAGCTCAGATTCAAAGGTAGGAGTAATGGACTCCAAAGATCAATGAATACAGCATCATAAATTTTCTGAATATTTTTTAAAACTAAATGTGTATTGAATATCTGATTTGGTGTATTTTATAAGTAATACTTTTAGCACTAACAATAGTGGTCTTAAATACCTAAAACTTATAGACTACATAGTCACCATGTCGTTCAAGTCCCTATTTATATTGTCTATCCTTGTCTTTCTGTGCTTTATTCTGTGTAGTTTATGTCCTTGTATTTGGCTATATTTATTCTGTGGTAATCTACTGTTTTTAAACTCATCTTCTGGGTTCTGGTTTTTAGGTGTTGATTTTTTAACTCTTGATTTTTTTAGATTTTTGTGATAATTTCTCTGCCAAGATGCACATCATTTAATCATTATTATTTAAATTACCTATAAAGAAACACCAATACTAATTATATAAAAATATTTCCCATTTTTTCTCTTTTTTCCTCTTTGTTCTGTATCTAAACTCTATTTTATGTGGTATTTTTGATCAACATTGAATTTGAAACACTGAACAAAACTTTTAGAAAGAATTTTATTTTGCCTCTTTTAAGTACTTTATTTAAGGTAGAACACTTTACACAAAAACAATTGAAGTTTTGAGAAACTAGGCACCATCCCTATTACAAAATTTTTTTAATTCACAAAATATGATACAATATTCATGGTTGTTTAATATGATTTCTTCTCTTTGGTCCAACCTAAATTATATTTGTGTACTCCCAAGAAAATCCAGCAAACATGCTGAGATTTGCAGTTTCACCTTCTACCTCTGAATGGGCAAATGCGTCCCAGGGAAAATAGCTGATCCCACTTTTACTTTTCTCTGAAATTAACTCCAATAGTCTTGCTGTCCTGGGAGCTGTACAATGCTCTCAACCAGCACTGACACATTCCCTTTTTCCTAAAATCACTTCTAGATCTAGATATAAAGCACAAGAGTCTGCCAAAATCAGAAGCAGAAATCTCCATTAGGAGATTAGCTCTGAAGATAAGAAATTACTGACAAAATGACCTACAGCTTTCAGATGCCATTACTAGATTATTATGTATTTAAATTTAGTTTCCTGCTTTCTATCCCTTTCTGTAGGAAACCAGACCCAGCTGCTGCCCCAGTGCAATGACTCCTGGTCAGACCCAGCAGGCTCTGCAGCCTCAGAGGGACACACTGCCAACTGCTCCGGTGAGCAAGGCTCCAGCACCAGAGCTGTCCCATTCCCTGTGCAAATGCCCACTGACATGACCCTGTCTCTCCTCAGACAGCAGACAGCTCCGCCTGGTGGATGGGGGCAGCTGCTGTGCAGGCAGAGTGGAGATCCTGCAGCAGGGCTCCTGGGGATCCATCTGTGATGACAGCTGGGACCTGAGTGATGCCCATGTGGTGTGCAGACAGCTGGGCTGTGGAGTAGCCCTGGAGGCCACCATCTCTGCTCACTTTGGAGAGGGATCAGGGCCCATCTGGCTGGATGAGCTGAACTGCACAGGAGAGGAGGCCTACCTGTGGCAGTGCCCTTCCCAGGACTGGGGGCAGCACGACTGCAGGCACAAGGAGGATGCTGGGGTCATCTGTTCAGGTCTGTGGTGCACACTGTGCACAGGTGGGAGAAGTGAGGAGGGTGTTCAGGATGGTATCTGAGCCTTAGGGCAGAGGAGGGTGAGTTGCTGATAGAGTGAAGTGGGAGGAGGCTCCTCCCACACTGCCTGTCACTCTATCAGAGAAGATGAGATGCTACCATTCCTAATGCAGCAGCTGAGCTTCTGCTCCTTCCTTCTCATCCCTGTCTCATGACAATCTTTCTCTTCAGTGTCTACTTGACTGCAGACCTCATGCTTCAGTTACTCTGGGTGCAACATCCTGAGACCCACTGTATAGTTTCCTATTGCTGCTGTAAAAACTTACCACAGAGCTAGTGGTTTAAAACAACACAAATTCAAGTCTGACCCTGGTCCACCTGAGCTATCAACATGGTGTCATTGGGCTTCATTCAGCTGAGGCTCTGGGAAGACTCACTTCCTTGCCTTTTCCAGCATCTAAAAGTTGCCTGTATTCCCCTTCCTTCTTCAAACTGACCACCTGGCACACCTCTGACCATTTTTTTCAACTTCACATCTCTCTATGACCAGGGCTCAGAAACTATTATCTGCTTTTGAGAATATGGGTATATGGATATGGTTAGATTGGCTCACATGATTAATCCAGGATAATTGAAAATAATCTCACCATTTAAAAATCCTCATCTTGATCGTGTCTTCAAACCCCCTTTTCCTCATAAGGTAACCTATTTACAGGCTCTCAGGATCAGGAACTGACATATCTGGGACTTCACTATTCTGTCAATGAATTGTCCATACCCTCTTTCCCAGGGTCTGTCAGATGTTTGGTCAGGTAGTGTTTCTTCTCTCCCTGCAAGAGCCCCATCTCAGTGTTCCTGCCTGCTCATTTTCCACTATGCCATTGTCACAGAAATAGAAAGAGACATACAAGTAAGTAAAACAGGTAAAAAGGATAAAAATTTTGTCTTTCTACTCAGAGGGCATTTATTCAGCAGAGTTAACAATGAGTACTCTCTATCTAGGGATTTGAAAAAAACAAACTAAGGATAAAATACTCACTATGTTCTGTTTCCCTCCTCTTGGTTTCAGAGTTCCTGGCCCTCAGGTTGGTGAGCGAGGACCAGGAGTGTGCTGGGTGGCTGGAGGTTTTCTACAACAACACCTGGGGCAGTGTCTGCCACAGCCCCATGGAAGCTGTGACCTTGTCCGTGATCTGCAGACAGCTTGGCTGTGGGGACACTGGGACTCTCAACACTTCTGTTCCTCTCAGAGAAGGTTCTAGACCTCGTTGGGTGGATGGAATCCAGTGTAGGAAAATGGACACCTCTCTCTGGCAGTGTCTTTCTGACCCTTGGAAATAGAGATCTTGCTCTGCAAAGGAGGAAGCTTATATCATGTGTTCAGGTGACTTACTCCCTATTCCTGTGTCCTCACTCTGGAGGTTCTTTTCAGAGAAATTCATATTTTCAAACCAAAGGAGTGAGTTCAAATAAGTCTACAAGGTGAAAGTTTGAAAAGAGATTATTTAAGCCTCAACTTACAATCTTGTTTCAATGACAGAAATAAGTAAACCTCATTTATGTGAGAAATGCCATGGATATTATACTAAGCATGTGGAAGCATGAACTTACCCTCCAAAAAACCATGTAAGCAAATGGCTAGTGCAGGCTATAGCAATTAACCTGTATTTCCTTAGAAGAGTGAGGAACTTGACCTCAATCAGGTAAATCACTTGCTAGGTCCTATCATTGTGTTAGTTTATTTTTTCCCACATGTAATGAAGGTTAAACCTCTCAGCAATCTGTTCATAGGTATTATGGTGATCGTTTAATCCAGATGTGGAAACTAAGGTTAGGAGTAAATACTTCATCCACCCAATATCATCAAGACAGTGTGGGAAAACTTGGGGAATCCAGTACTAGTGGTTTATCTTTGAGCTCATTGTCTTTTACTCTGAAATCCATCAACATCAGTCAGACAAACTCTCAGGTCAGATTGTTGTGACTTGTAGGTAGAAACTTAATTCTGTGCTGGAGAAGAGACAAGAATAAAATACTGTCCTTGTCCTCATTGAGTTTACCCTAGAGCATGACTACACACACCAGCCGTAATGTGACTGTCATGAAGTGGAAGGTGCTGTGGAAATGGGTAATTTGAGGAAAAGAGGAATTATATTTAGGTTGAGAGCATTTAGTCAGTGTTAATTCTGAGGTGCGGGAAGCATGGTGACCTAGAGTTACTGATAAATTCCCATCAGGAGCAGAGTAGGAAGAGGGTGGGAGAGTGATGCCTGATTACTTGGAAGGGTAAAAAGAGCTTGAGGCCTCTCCAATGTATGGCTCCAGTAACAATCTTGTTGAAAAGCTCTTTGTTAATCTCCTCTGCCACATCATGGGAAACTCCTGTGAGATGAGGGGACTGGTCTCCCCTTATTTTTCTCTTGAACTGATCTCCTCAGAGTCCCAGTGGTCTTGGTTGATATTACCTCCTCTGAGCCTTTATCCATATGCTACTGCAAACTAATATGCCCACTTCATCCCTCGCCCAGAAAACATTCCATGGGGCCTGTTGGAATTGGAGGCAATCCGTCTTCCAATTCCTTAAGACCTGTAATGCCCCCTTCAATTTCATGTTCTGATAAAAACCTGGCTGTCCACTGAAAACAATGATGTCCTTATCATTTGGAGGCTCTGTGCTTCCCTTTCAAAAGGATATTTCTGGGCCAAATCTTAGAATAAAAATATTCCTGCTTTCCTTTGTCATTTTCAACAATTTATTTTCTTTTTCTTTGTGTTCAGCTACTTGAAATATGGCCCATGAGGTGGCACCAGCTACCACTTCTGTTGGTGTCACTCTCCAGCCTGGTCACACCCCCTCACCCAGGAAAGATGCAGTAGCAGGCTCACCAGGCTCCTTTGTCTCCTGTTCCTGGTGCTGCCAGGATCCTTGAACATACTGAGATAACATCCTGGCCTCTCCATTCCTGAATTTCTCCCTTTGAAGCACTCTACTCCCTTGCATCCCAGCTCTGTGTATGGCCACACTATTGACCATCACTAACTGTCCAGCTTGAGATCTTGATTGCTTTGTTCCCTTGTTTGAATGTTGCCTCTTCTCCTATGGCACATATTCTTGATGCTCCTTTTCTAGATATTTCATCCTCACACAGATTCCAAATGTTTTTCAGTTTTCCACTCTCCTCATGATTGTACATGTTCTTCTTACCCTGATTAGACAACACAATGCCCCATTATAATCCTCCCCACTCAGAACCTCCCCTGGTCTCTTCTATCAATCCAAGACAAGAATGGTTTTGTCAACTACCTAACTCTTTCTTGCCTGTACTAGATTGACAAGGATTGCTGAATCATGGACAAGTACTGTATCTTGTTATGTTGTGAAATTATCCTGCTAGTCTCTGAATATGTGACCCAATCTCTGATGGATCCTCCACACTGTCCTCATATAGTGGTGTGATTCTCTCATGTATGCTCTTACCCTCTCTCTAACATGACATTTTACAAATTCCCTGATCTCCTTCACACTGCTCTTTAAACTACATCATACAAATGATGGTCTTGCTTCAAACTTACCTGGAAAATAGTAACTTTCAGCTATATTCTTTTTTGTTTTTTCCTTATGGTCACTCTAACTTACTAATTATTATTCCTGGAGTGATGCAACTTCTTTGTCCAATATCTAAATTTTAGACTCTGTATTCTTCCTTAGCTCTTTTCCATCCCTTCTCTCAATGATGATATCATTCCACTGATAGCTCCCAGTACAAAACTCCATACCTGATCTCTGACCTTAAATCCAAACTCATATATTTCATTACCAATGGGCCCTCCCTTGAATATATAATGGGCAGTTCAAATTTGGTTTTCAAATTAGAGTGTTTTATTTCACCCCTTCAAGCCCTGCCTCTACCTTTTTCTCCCTGTTCTATTCCCCACCCCAGTTAATGCCACTGTTGTTGCTCAGTTACTTATTCTCAGTCTACATTCACATCTCCATTTTACTCTCCCTCCAATTCCAATGTAGTAGCAGTTTCTGTGTCTAAATCCCTCTACTCCTTCTTTTCTACTCTCATCTTAGTTCAGGAAAGATCACTTCTTGCTTGAACTCTTACAGCAATCTTCAGTGGTCTTTGTTGTCTATAACATATTGTCTATTTAATGCTGGAAATATGCTCATTTGATTACCAAATTGACTAGTGAGTTGCTGTGTGGCAGGTGAGCTGCCTTTAGAAGTGACACTGGCACATTTCTTTGTGGCTCCCAGATGCGGAAACAACAGTAAACCATGTCTCAGGAGTCTTTAATTAGCCTAATTAGCAGAAATTCCAGGGACTATGTAGTCAGCTTGTTGTTCTCAGACTTTAAAGGACTTCTCATGGAAGAGGGAAGAGGCTGTGAGCCACTCCAGGGGTTGGGGATGTGACTCATGGGTGCAGATTACTATGTGTTGGGTTTGGGTTCACTCTAAATTTAAATAACACTAAAGAACCTCTCCATGTGAGGACCCCCAGGGAATGAGTAATGCATTCTGTCTGGGCAATGAGCACTGGAAGCATGAAGAGATAGCCATCCTACCTTCTCTTAAGCTGTGCTGTCTTTTTTGCTCTTTTCCCAGAATTGGCCACATGCTTGACACTAGGAGATTTATGTTCTTCCCTCTAGTTTATTTTTGGTGTAGTTAAACAATATTTTTCCTATTACACTGAATTGCCAAAACCTTAATTACTCATTGAAATCAAGGAAGACATATTAAAATTTAAAAGATACATTAGTAACATTGCATAACCCCTTGTCTATTCCCACAATGTAAATAGGATTAATGGACTGGTAGTTATTATTTTCCCAATCCTCCATTTTCATAAATTCGTATCTAACCTCATATAGTGATAAAAGTATTTATCTTATTGTGTCTTTTTATTTGGTTTTACAATATTGGTATTATATTATGCTTACTATTTTTACATTGGCTTTCTTAACAATATATTATGGATATTCCTCAAGTAGAGCTCACTATTTTGTAAAAAAAAAAAAAACCCTTCATAATGTCACATTTTTAAGAGATTAGTATTATCGTTTGCATAATAATTTTCCTATTTATTCATAATAGTTTTATATTTTTCCCATCTATAAACAAAATTGTAACAAATAACCTTGCACAAGTAAGACCAAACTCTTAGGTTTATTACTACAAGATGACTGCCAATGGTTGTAAGATCACAGGATATCTACTTTTTGAACAGATGTTGTCATATTACTTTGTAGGAGCAATTGTTTTCAATTAATATTTTGTATCTTAATAGAAAACACTAAGAATTTTTTATAACTCAACCGTTAATCTAAACTCAAAGAACACAGTGTAGCTCAAAAATCAAAAAAGGAACACAGCCCACAAATCTCTGCTAGGAATAGCCTGAAAACCAGGGAGAATGTGATGATAAATAATGGTGTTTCAAAAGACTTACTCTTTTCCTTTTCCTCACCTTATTTTTTTCCTTTACCTGTAGAGGCTGAAGTGATAATAAATTATAAAATTAGGTACTGATGATGTTTTTTCTTGCAATAGACTCCACATATTGAGAGATAGTTAAACATCGAATCATGAAAGTGAGCAGCCACCAAAGAGAGGTCCTGCCATCATTTCTAGAAATGTTTTCAGCATAGCATAGGAGGTTGACAGAATAATGGGGATAATGTGTACCCCTGATGGTATTTTAGAAAAAATGCCATGTATGTTTTCTCTGTGTTATTTTGCATTTATATGTATTCTTTTGTTTTGTTTTTGTTTGATTAGATGTTACCTCTATGTCCTTTCATCAGTTAATTTTCCTCAGTGTACTACCTGTTTATACAATGTTTCTATCTTGCCAGCTAACTATTATCCACTTATTAACTTTTCTTTGAATTCTACTTGTTTTATTTATGTACAAAATACTTTTAATTTATTTTAAAAAATAGTTTTAATTAATTTAAATAAATGCTTTCAATATTGTAATTTTTCATTAACAATATGAGTGCTTTGAGTACAAATTACTTTTGGGATTACTCACTACTTATATTTTAAATGTCTAATATTTATTACCACAAAACATTGTCATTAACTTACATTTTTATTACCTTTCTGATTAGCATGAATTCAAAAAAATATTTTTCAGCAGATTTTTACTCATATATTCATTTAATCAGCAAATATTTATCAAACCACTGTTCATAGCATTCATAGAAAGTCACCCATACATACTTCTAATGAATACATTCAACACACCAGGCATTATCCTGTTTGCAGGAACAGAGGGAGAATGAGGCAAGGTCCCTTTATAGTGGAATTTTCTGTGTTATGTGTGTCTGTGTGTGTTTAAGTGTACACACACAAGCATGTGCATGATCATTTTTGTGTTTGCTCATGCAGTAGGCACAGAAAAAACAAGTAAACTGATAAAAATTTTAGCTGCTGATAGGGATATGCTCCAGGGAATGTCTCAGTAACCCAGCCTGTTAGACTACTTCTAAAGCCTGTTACCTCCACCTGTCACCTGAACTGAGACCAGAACCTTAGACAGCCTTGTCTTGGGGCAGGATCTCCGTAGCTGCCACTTACAGTGCTACCCCACTGTTTGCTCCTGCAGGAAACAGACCCAAGAGCTGTCCAGCCACTGTACCCTGCACAGGTACCTCATCCCCTCCCAGCTTCCCCATGGCTTCCAAGGGCTCCTTTCCTCCCATCAGGGAGTAAGAGGAGGGGCTGCTGCCTTTTCAGACAAAGAGAAGCTCCAACTCAGGGGAGGAGACAGCGAGTGTTCAGGGCGAGTGGAGGTTTGGCATGAAGGCACCTGGGGCACTGTGTGTGATGACTCCTGGAGCCTGGCAGAGGCTGAGGTGGTGTGTCAGCAGCTGGGCTGTGGCTCTGCCCTGGAAGCCCCAGGGGAGGCTGCATTTGGCCCTGGAAATGGAAGCATCTGGCTGGATGAGGTGCAGTGCAGGGGCAGGGAGCCCTCCCTGTGGGCCTGTGCTGCAGCACCCTGGGGACAGAGTGACTGCAAGCATGAGGAGGACGCTGGTGTGAGGTGCTCTGGTGAGTAGCAGGACAAGGTGGGGGGCCTAGGGTTGAAGGAGTGTGTTTGCATCCAGAGGGCTTCCCAGGCTGCCCTGCTACCCTATGCTCTGGCTCTGATGTGCCCAAATTCCTGGCATCTGGGAAAAAACTATGTGCCAGTTTTGGTGAGTGGGACCCAGAGACATTCCCAGACCAACACAGTGTAGTGATTCCATTTTCCTTCTCTTGTCCCCAGGTGAAAGGACAACAGCTCACCCCAACCAGAGAAGTAAGTGGTCCTTTTGCTCTGAACCAGGTAATGGGGGAGATAAGCAGATTTTCAGTGTTCTGCACTATGGAGTCTACACAGTTCTGATGTTCAGGTGTTAGAAGACGCCATCACTTGTGTTAAATTAGAGCAGTCAGAGAGCTCCAAAGCCTCATCCACATTTATTTTATAGAAATCTCTTAAAATCAGACTCAGAAGATAGTTGACACATCCCAGAGCAGGATCTAGGGTGGTAATATCCTGAGATTCATGATATATGATTTCTGAACTAGGGACTTCATGGTCCTGAGGACTGAAGCAAGGACCATGATAACTGAATTCTCCTGAGCTTATGGTCCTCTCTAAAGACTCATGACCTTTTTCTTCTTCAGGCACCAGTTCAGCCTCAGCCACTGTCCCTGGCATCTTCTCCTTACCTGGGATCCTCTGCATGGTCCTGGTAACCCTTCTCTTTCTTGTCCTCATCATCCTGGGAATTCAACTGCTCAGATGGAGACGACAGTGCCAAGGTGGAGCTTGGGAATGCTGTGACATGAAAGTATGCACAGATAATATTGGACCAATTGTGGGGCTTTTTAAAGTACACATTTTAGTCTTATTCTCATTGTATAAGAAACTGCCTTCTCTACCATGGACTTGGAGACTTAAAAGACATGATTTTGTCCTGGGTTAAAAAATGGAGCCCTCAAATACGATGATTTCCCATGTGGACAGTGCTAGTGGAGACTGGGTTTAAGATCAAGGGATGGGCAGAAATCTAGTTCTATCCCAATGAATTACAAGACTAAAGAAAGGGATCCTGGAAGCCCAGAGTAGTCTCTCCAAGAGTGTGCATTGGAGAAGATTTTGTCTGTTGGTAAGGCAGCGACTTCCATGAGCAATGCCTGAACTCATTCTGCTTTCCATAGCCTTATCCACTTTTGAAGATGCTGTTGATGAAGTCCTGTACCAGGAGATAGATTACCCCATAAATCCAGAGAAGGAGAGCCTGCTGAACAGCTCAGGTGTGTTCCATAGCCTCCTTTGTTTGTATGAGTTTTCCATCAGTATGGGAATCTTCAGTAAGCAAAGATCACATGACTAACCCAACTTCATATGGCATATTTGGTAGCTTTCTATTACTGAAATAAAATGAATGAAATAATCAAATTATAAAGAAGAAAGATTTATTTTGCTTTAATAGAAAGAGGAAGAGATTGGCATCCTATAATCCTTTTCAAGAGCATGCTCCAAACAACTTAATACCTCCCACTAGTCTCCACACCTTAAAGGTTCTACCTTTTCCAACACCATTTAAAACATGAACTTTTAGAGATATTCCTGGACCACTATAACAATTATCAGCATCCCTCAATGGCAGGAGCTCCAAGGCCTCTCTCTACAAGTATGAAGCTTCAAAATTTCTTCTGAACTATGACATTGAACCTCCTACTGTGTTTGTCTATTATGTTTTCTCCCAACTAGGAACCATTTCTAATGGCTCAGTAAGTAAGCTACCTTATTACATAGGGGAAAATGAGGGGACCCTGAATCTGCCCTATGTAGTAGAGACAAGTCTTCCCTTACATGGTGGGGGTGAGGAACAGGTTATCATCTGAGAAGAACTTTGTTGATTAGGATGGGAAGGATCTCTTCCTTCAGGTTCACAACTACTTTTTCTCTCCACCCACTCTGTCATCTCAGAAAGGGAAAGATGAGATTCTAATTTATTGGTTTCCATAGCTTCTTCTGTATGGTCACAGACATACCTCAAATACATCATTATAAAATCCAAGGCCATAATCTAAAAAAGAAAATTTGAACCTGATCATCTTACAAATTCCATGGCGTAAGAGAACTTTGGGAAATATGGATTTGACCCTGAAATACAGGGATGTATGAACCATTTTGTGGTTTATGTGAATACTAAGACCAAAAAAATGAACTTTATAATCCCTGGAACACAAGGAATGTTTGGTGCCTGTATTTATCAATCATTGGGAGCTCTTCTCTACAAAGGACCTAAGAAAAGAGAACATCCTGGACTTTCCCCAAATTGTGAAAGTGGAGAGTTCCAAGGATAAAGCATGTCCAGGAGTGCTCTTTCAAGATTGAATCGTAAGAACAGCACAGCACTAAAGGAGGTTGAAATCCATGCCTCCTGGGATTGAAATTGGTAGAATAGCCTATCTGCAGGAGAGAGAAAGCCAGGCTTTTCTATTGGACATCACTGTGTCTCCGTTGCTTCAGAGGCCACATTAACAGCCTGGGTTCTCCTCAGTCACTAAAATGTACATATTTTTTCAGCCCTCTATCATATGCCTGAAAAGAGTGCCTCAAACTTACAACATAATTTTTATTGATTTTTTTGGCATGGCATGTTAGTAAAATATTATTGAACTTCATACATTGAAATATTTAGATGATTTACATGCTTTACAAGAATACAAAGAGTCAAATGTATGCCTTTGGGACAGCCTTGGAATATGGTGCCTGTATTTCTCAGCTATTAGAATCTCTGCATTAAAAGAGACTGAAGACATCACCTAGACTAAGAAATATCTTGCTCTTCCTTCTTATTCCCTGTTTTCAGAACCTCGAGGACAGCATGCAGTTGCCACAAGCAATGGTTATGATGATGTTGAAGAGTTACCAGTTCCTGAAATTCCTTCTTCCTTTGGAATGAAAGAGAACAGGTTTTTCCCAGAAGAGGGAAGTGGTGCCAGGTGTTCTAAGACAGGTAAGTGGATAGCTATCTCTCCAGTAGTCTTGCATTATTGTCATGGTAAAGATGGATTTGGACATTTCAATTATCAGTTTTCCTTTAACACAAGAATCTAAGTAGCCTTGTAAACCAAGAAGATGTCATCTCTTCCCTTTTTCTGTTTATTGAAGCTGTTTTATTTCTTCTGAAAGGCAGTACATATTGTGTCCTCTGTCTGCACACACAGGCCATGGGATAGAGACATCTCTGGATGAGCTGCAGAGATTTTGTAGCTTTGTTCCAATTTTCACACAGCAAACCAAGACCTATGTTTGAACAACAAGTATGGTGGTCTTTAAGCCTGTGAGAAGTAATTTGGAGAGCATTTTAGTGTTTTATTATTGCATTATAATTATTCATCATAGTGGCATTAATTTTGACATTCATAAATACATATAACATAGTTTTTTAATGAATCAGTGATATATATATATATATATATATATATATATATATATATATATATATATACACACACACACACACACACACTTCACCTCAGTATATTTATATTTATATATATATATAACATAATTTGGTCAATTTCATTCCACAGTTCCTCGTTTTTCACATCCTTCCTCCTTCCGCATCAACCCCCTTACTCTATTCCACTGGTCTCTCTTTTTCTTTCATGAGTCAATTTCCTTCCAGAGTTCCACCCACTTTTTCCCATTCAAGCCTTGTTTTGCTCCAAGTTCTGCATATAAGAGAGGAAATTTAACTTTTGACTTTCTTAATTTGGTATATTTCCCTTAGTATGATGTTCTCCAGTTCTATCCATTTATATGCAAATGCCATAATTTAATTCTTTTTTATGGCTGAGTGTAATTCTGTTGTGCATATTCACCACATTCTTTATATCCATTCATCAGTTGACAGGCACCCAGGCTGTATCCATGACTTGGCTGTTGTAAATTGTTCTTCCATCAACATTGATATGCCAGTATCACTCCAGTATGCTTAGTTTAGTTCTTTGGATAAAACCAAGGAGTGAGATAGTGATGAAATGGTTTCAGGAATCTTCATGCTGTTTTCCAAAATGATTGTACTAATCTGCAGTGCCACCAAAAATGAATGAGTACACTTTTCCCCACATCCTCATGATCATTTATTATTATTTATATTATTGATGATTGCCATTATAAAAATGTAGTTTTGATCTTCATTCCCTTGATTGGTGTAGATGTTAAGCAGCTTTTCATATATTTCTTGGTCATTTGTATTACTTTTTTTGAAATATCTTTTTAGCGCTACTGCCCATTTATTAATTAGATTAATTGTTTTAACTTTTTTGAGTTATTTATATATTCTGCATATTAATCCTCTGTCAAAAGAATAGCTGGCAAAGATTTTCTTCCATCTTATAGGCTCCCTATTGTTCCCTTTTTTTCCTTTCCTGTGCAGAAGTATTTTAATTTGATACCATCCCACTTGTTGATTCTTAATTTTATTTCTTGAGCCTCAGAGGTCTTGATAAGGTGCCTGTGTCAATATGTTGGAATAGTGAGCCTATTTTTTCTGTCAATCACAAAGTTTCTGGTCTAATACCTAGGTCTTTGGTTCATTTTAGTTGACCTTTGTGCAAGTTGAAAGATAGGGGACTAGTCTCATTCTTTTATATACAAATATCCAGTTTTCCAAGCACCATTTTAAAAAAGAAAAAAAAGGCTCTTTTTTAAATGTATGTTTTTTGTTCCTCTGGTAAGTATCAGATGAAAATATCTGTTTGGGCTTGTTCTGTGTTTCTATTCTATTGCATTGATCTTCATGTCTATTTTGATGCCAGTTCTATGCTGTTTTTGTTACTACAGCTCTCTCATTAGCCAAACTAACCAAAAGAGAGGGAAGACCCAAATCAAAAAAAATAGAGATGAGAAAAAGAGATATCATCACAAACATTTCAGAAGTCCAGAGGCTCATTAGGAACTATTTTGAAAATTTATACTAAAACTATAAAATCTAGAAGATATTAACCAATTTCTAGGTAGAAATCAAACCAACAAAATGTAGAAAACCTAAACAGATCAATATCAAAAAATGATACTGAAGTAGCAATTAGAAGCCTTCCAACAAAAAAAGAAGTTCTGCCAAATATTTAAGAAAGAAATATACCCATCATTCTCAAATTACTCTATGAAATAGAAAAAGAGGAAATACTTCCAAGTTTATTCTATAAAGCCAATATTACTGTTTTACCAAAACAAGATAAAGACACATTGAGGAAGGAAAACTACAGACCAATATCCCTGAAAAGCATAGTCTGAAAAATTTTATTAAAATATTTCTAAAGCACATTCAAAGACACATTAACAAGGTAGTACACCATGATCAAGTGGGTTTCATGTAAGTTAGATGCAAGGGTAGTTCAACATATGCAAATCAATAAGTTTAATTCACCAAAAAAATACATCTAAGGATAAGAATCACATGATCAATTTGATAGATGCTGAAAATTTTTTGATAAGTTTTAGCATCCATTCATATTAAAACTGCTGAATAAATTAGGGATGGAAAGAACTTATCTCAACATTATAAAGACTATGTATAACAAATGCAAAGCCAACTTCCTATTGAATGAAGAAAAATTGAAAATATTTCCTCTGAAATCAGAAACAAGAAAAGGATAATCACTCTCACCACTCCTAGTCAATATAGTTATTGAAACTAAAGTCAGAGCAATCAGACAAGAGAAGAAATTAAAGAGATATAAATATGAACAGAGGATAAATTATCTGTTTTCTGAAGAAAGGATCCTTTATGTATTATACTTAATATCTCCATCAAAAGAATGCTAATACTGATTAATAAATTCAGGAAAGTAGGATATAAAATCAGCATTCAAAAATCAATGCCTTATCAATATCCCAATAATTAATATGCTGAGAAAAAATCAGAAAATCTATTCCATTCACAATAACCTAAAATAATTATTATTTATCTTGAATCTTGACATTCTAACTGGGGTAAGATTAAACCTCAGTGTAGTTTTTATTTCATTTCCTTTATTGTTAAGAATGTTGAACAGTTTTTTATGTATTTCTTGGCCATTTTATGTCATCTTCTGAGAAATATCTGTTTAGCTTACTAGCCCATTGACTGGGTTATTTGGGTTATTTTGATGTTTATATATGATAGATATGAATCCTCTATCAAAAGAATAAATGGCAGGAATTTCTCCCATTCCTTAGGCTCTCTTTTTATCATCTTGTTTCATTTTATGTTTGAAATTTTTAAATTTGAAGCTGCCCCAGTTGGTTCTTGGTTTTATTTCTTGAGCTTTGGGAGTTTTATTTCTGTTTGTGCTTGTATTTTGGAGAGTTGGCCCTATGTTTTCTTCTAGCAATTGTAAAGATTCTTGTCTAATTACTTGTCTAATTCTTGTCTAATTACTAGGCCTCTGATCCATTTTAGTTGATGTTTATGCAGGGTAAGATATAGGGAGCCCCTTTCATTCTTCTACATATGGATATCCTGTTTTCCCAGTTCCATTTGTTAAAAAGTCCATTTAGTCAGCTTTTTCACTTCTGTGGCTAAAAAAAAAAAACCAACCAGCACAATTGTAGAGGTGAAAAGGTTTATTCCGGGGCTCACTGTTTCAGAGGTCTCTATATATAGACAGCAGGCTCCATTCTTTGAGGCTGGAGGTGTGGCTGGACATCTTGGTGGAAGAGTGTGACAGAGGGAAACAGCCTGCAGATGATCCGGAAGAAAAGAGACTCCACTTGCCAGATACACAATATATACCCAAAGGCCATGCCTTCGTGGACCCACCCCCTCAAGCCACACCCTACTGGCCTTCAGTTACCAGGCAGTTAATCCCCATAAGGGGAATAATGCAATGATTGCATTGAGGCTTTTACAATCCAATTGTTTTTCCTCTTGCACTGTGTCTCACATGAGCTTTTGGAAGACACACTACATCCAAACCATAACATCCATCTTTTTTCCAATGTGTGTTTTTACTGATTTTGTCACGATCAGATGACTATACCTGTGTGGGTTTATCTCTCTGTCTTCTATTCCATTGACTTTCATGTTGGTTTTTATAAAAATGTCATTCTCTTTTTGTTAGCACATACCCACAGCATGATTTGAGCTTGGGAATTGTGATGCCTCAGCCTTGTTCTTCTTGCTCAGTATTGTTTTGGCTACTCTGGATCTTTTATTCTTCCACATGAATTTTAGGACTCATTTTTCTAATTCTGTAAAGAAAGTCATTGATATTTTGATTGGGACTGATTAAAATTATAGATTGCTTTTGGTTGTATAATCATTTTATCAATATTAAATCTGCTTATCGAAGAACAACAGATGCCTTTCCATCTTCTATAGCCTTCTTCAAATTCTTTCTTTAGTGATCTATATTTTTATTTTAGAGGTCTTTCAACTTCTCCACTAGGTTTATTTTCATGTTTTTGTTTTGTCTTAGGTTATTTTCAATGGAATACTTTTCTTCCTTTGTTGAGTTTACTACTGTCATATAGCAAAACTATTAATTTTGTTTGTTGATCCTGCTACTTTGCTCTATTTATTTATCAGCTCTAAAACTCTTCTGGTGGAGATTATATGCATAGAATCATATCATCTCCAAATGGAGATAATTTGACAACTTCTTTTTCTCGTATCCTTTTAATTTCTAACTGATATAGCTAATATTATAAAATTATATAGAATAGGAGAGGTGGGGGTAAGAATACTTATCCTACTCTAGATTTATTTTAAAGGAAATGCTTTTATTTCCTCACCATCCGTTATGATGTGATGTATGGTTTGTCATGGATAGCCTTGATAAGATTGAGATAATTTTCTTCTATCCCTAGTGTCTTCAGAGATTGCTAAATTTTGTTGATGAAAAATTTTCTGCATCTATTTGGTTAATTATGTAATTTTTGTTCTAAATTCTATTTATGTGATGGATTACATTTATTGATTTGCATATGCTGAGCCAACCTTGCATATGTAAAAATTTATTTTTACGGAAGCTTGCAACTCATTATTTTTATTAACACTTCACACTTTAATCATATAATGTACAATAGCCTTAAATAGATATATTGAAATTTACATGCTAGAAAGAATAATTCTCTTATTGTTTGAAATAATATATGGTGTCATATTTTAGAAGTGGGCTTTCCACTTGTGCATGGTCATGTGGGCCATAGAAAAAGGAAACTGTTGAATTCATTTGAGCTGCCATCCTTTCGCATCTTCCAAAGGACTCAAATTGTTGTCATGAATACACTGAAGTCAAGAGTAGTCTGTTATTGAGGTACAGAGGAATTGAGGGAGGTCGTCTTCTGCCTGGAGTGCTTAAGGAATCAGACCAGCCTGGTGTGGAAGAGAGAACTTGCATCTCTTTGCCACTCCTCACCATTTTTAACCCATCCTCCTTCTCATTGTTGAAATCAAGACATTTGCACAGGACATAGTCAATAAGATATAGCTCTATCACTCCTTCCAGAAAAATTCTGGTTACCCATAGATATTTTGTAGCCACTCTACTAGTCTTTTCATTCTGCAAGAGGACACTGGACTGTCGTTTTTGTCACCACTGAAACCAGGATCCTCTTACTATTTCAGGTAGTTCTCTTCAGACCCTCAAAGAAGCTGACAATTCTAACATGGAAGACACAACATCCTTATTGGTCCTGAGACAAGAGTACCCTGGATATGATGATGTTGAGCCTAACACCATGTAGTGCTTTTTGTTTTGTTTGTTGTTGTTGTTTTGGGAGCAATTAAGTCTGTAGAGAGCTCCTTATGATATTATTTACTGATAAAAGAGAGTTCTGTCTTCTTCATTACTGGAAAGTTTCTATGTGTATCCCTTATTAAAAATAAATACTCTGAGCCTCAAATACCAGTGCCATTGTCTTAATGTGAATGCATTCACCCACAGCAACCTCTGAAAATTTAGTGTTCAAATTGAATGGATCCCACATAGGATCACCCACACACTACACACTTGCTTCTTTGAGATGGACAGATGTCTATTCTTCTCTTGAACAGCATAAAACTGAAATGCAGAGCTGAAATAAGAACTTAGTCTTACAAAAATTAACTTAGAAACAACCTTAATATTCAAAAACATCCATTCATGCTTGACTAAAACCCATATTTACTGATTGGGTGGATCAGGTGGATGGAAAATGGCTATGTTTCTAATTTTGCCTGATATTTTATATAATATCAATAACTAAATTCTACTACTGCCTAATAGTCTTTTACTCTAACAGCCTCTTCTCCTTTCTTATTATTCCACAATTCTCTGAATCTCATGTTTCTCCATACAATTGAACTATTACTCATTAAATTCTATTGTTTTTATCATTTTTCATTGTTCTCCTTTCTCTGGCTCTCTTTCTTTAAACAGCCAATGATTCTAACATCCAGAATTACAAAAGATTTCTAAGTGGATGTATTTACTGTGAATTATTCCCATCCCAGACCATTCTCACATATTTATTTGAGTTGTAAAGGACTGAGTAAGTGAGCCAAACTCTGCAATTCTCTATTCTACAGACTCACTGTTATCTATAGCAATATTCAGTTATTTGCATGCAAACAAATGAATGTTTCCACATTTGTATTCTAACTGAATAATTTTAAATCAAGATTTTATTTACTCTGTTTTGTGATTCCTTTATTTTCTTTAGGAGTTTTTTTCTGTTTTTATTTTGTTTAATATTCTTATAGTTGTAGATGGACAGCATGCCTTTATTTTATTTATTTTTTTATACTGTGCTAAGAATCGAACCCAGTGCCTCACACATGCTCGGCAAGTTCTCTGCCACTCAGCTACAGCCCCATCCCCTTCTGTTTTTATTAATGCATTAGAGTTATACATAATAGTGTGATTTATTTTGACAAATTTGCACTTGCATTTAATATAGTTTGCTCTATTCCCATCCCCAGTCCTTCCACTCTCCCTCCTCTCCTCCCTTCCCCCGCTCCCCTGACTCCACTCTACTGTCCTCCCTTATATTTTGTTGTTTTTTGTTTAGTACTTTATAGATACACATAAAGGTTGAATTCACTCTAGTTTATCCATAAATGTACATAGCATAATTTTGTCAATTTCATCCTGCAGTTCCTCACATTTTATGTGCCTCCACTGTCCCCCTCAATTGTTTTCTTCTGCTCCACTGAACTCTCATCTATTTTCATGGATCCTCTATTTTTGAACATTATTTCCCTCTATCTTTACCATATGAGAGAAAGTATTTGACCTTTGACTACCTGAGTCTGGCTTTCTTTACTTTTACAACTTAAATATTTTATTTAAAAATAAAATGTATTTTCCTACCATAATATACATAAAGTTACTTTAACAGTTCTGACATTTATGAACCATATGTACAGTTATTTTTTTGATAACTTCCCATGCACTTCCGTAATTCAGAATTGGGAATCATTTAGCTATATTAGAAAGTGCAAAGGCCTTACTTTAGACTACAAAGACTCCACACTTGGAGGTCTACCTTCATTATTGGACCTCATTAGATATACACTTACAGTCATTTTAGGAAAGAGCAATAGCAACTGTCAGCAATAACAAACTATGTCCTATACACATCAGACACTTTTGCAAATCTGTTTTGTTTTGTTGTTGTTCTTTTCACTTTTATTCAAATAAACACAATACTTGTACATAGACTGATCATATCTCCTTTCAAGTTAATATACCTGGATTTTCAGATGTGCAGTGCTGTGGTCAAAACATGACTATTCTATAATCTGAAACAAGTATTTTGGACACACAGGCAAGTAACTGGGGGTTTTTGGTCAAAAAAAAGAAAGAAAAAGAGCTGATAAAAAGCACTGTGATGTCACTTGCCAACTTGAGAATGAAGGAAGCAAAGACAAGCATTTTGGGGGAGGGGGGTAAAAATCTAATGTACCTCTGGATAAAATTTAACTGCTTCCTCTCTTTCTTTCCTAGGGTGGGCACTTGAAAAATGAGACATTTCAGGAGTGGTCTAGATTGTTTGTTTATTGCTGTTGGATTTGATTTCCTAAGAAACTTTTAACAATATGGAAGAACACTGACATTAGCCTTTGCCATTAGAGATAGTAAGACCCATAATGACTAAAATATTTTCTGATGTGTCCCTCCAGGGACTACACAGAAAGTATAGTCATGCCAGCCCTGCTCTCCCCAGATGCCACAGCCATTCTGTAAAGACAACACAATATATTTTCTAGACCCATAATTCAGAAATGAAGGTGTCGGAGAAATTTCATTCATTTTAAATTAGTCTTGCTTCCCCAGAAATTCCATCTTGAAAACTAAGTAATACCTTTGTTAGTTTGTTTGGCCTTATTAATATCAATTTTACTGAAGAAGCTTGTGTCCTTGATGTGGCTTGGCCTTTGCTACTCCTACATATTAATTTAATTTCAATAAAGTTGTGGCTTCAAGTGCTGAGTGATAGTTTGACCTGCAAGAAACAAGTTTAGGTAGTCACGTCACCGTTATCTGAAGCCAGTTACAGTGAATGCAACCTGGGGGCCAATTCAACTAAAAAATTATAATTCTCACAGCAAAAAAGCAGCCAAAGACAGAGGCCTGAGACAAGTGGGCCTATGGAACTGCAGATTGGGGAGTATAGGGCCCATTCCAGGTCATTGTCTGTGTGGATGGTGTATTAGTACAAGCAGGCTGGCCCAGTCCTGGCTGATTCTGGCTGTGTCGCCTTTACAGAATGGCTGTGGCATCTGGGGACAACAGGGCTGGCATGACTGTATCTTCTGTGGAGTCCCTGGAGGGACACAGGCAAGTCCTGTTCCTTACAATTTCCCACACTGCCCACTTTTTTCTTTTTTTTAAGAGAAAGAGAGAGAGAGAGAATTTTTAATACTTATTTTTTAGTTATTGGCGGACACAACATCTTTGTTTGTATGTGATGCTGAGGATCGAACCCGGGCCGCACGCATGCCAGGCAAGCGTGCTACTGCTTGAGCCACATCCCCAGCCCACACACTGCCCACTTCTGATCCCCCTTCTCTTGTAAAATATGATTTTGCTCAGCAGCAACTTAGGAGAGTGGGAATAGGCCTGAAAGCCAAGGCTGGGAAGGTCATCTAGAAGCCTGACAGAGAGCAAGCCCACTTTCTACAAGTAAAAAATCCCAGTTATAACCAGAGCAGTGGTGCATGCCTGTAATCCCAGCAGCTCAAAAGTCTCCAGCAGGAGGAACTTGAATACAAAGTCAGCCTCAGCAAAATCGAGGAGCTAAGCAACTCAGTGAGACCCTGGCTCTAAATAAAATATAAAAAATGGCTGGGATGTGGCTCAGACCTTGGTTTCAATCCCTGGTACCCCCAAAAAATGAAAATTTATAATTCTCACAGCAAAAAAGCAGCCAAAGACAGAGGCCTGAGACAAGTGGCCTGAGACAAAATTACAGCCTATCCACTAAAGTAAAACAAAATGTCTTTGAAAAATAATATACTTTGAAACTCTGACACATTTACAAAAACAGATCAAGAAATTTCAAACAACATTTTTAGAAGTCCTTTAAAAATGTATCAATAACCTTCTTAGTAACAAATATGAAACAGTGTAAGACCCTTTGTGACTTTCCAGTGGGATACATACACAGTAAGATTTTACTACTAAAATTATCTACTTGGTAAAATCTCTAGGAAAAGTTCTATCAAGAAAATAATTGTTTTGAGATTACTTTTTTTCAGAATGTCAAAAACAATTAGGGCAAACACACATACTTAAAATGTTAATACAACAATGTTAATTCAGTTGAATAAATAAAAGAAAGTGGCACCAACTTTATGGCAATTTTTCAAGACTAAGATGTAGCTCAAGGATATTTTAAACAAATAATTTCCCCAAACAAGAATGATCATTCTCAGCACAAGACAATAGCATTAAAAATAAAGTACTATGAGAAAAAGTAGCTCCACAAACTTCAGCTTATTCACAGATGAACAGAGATGTTATCTTTTTTTAACAGAAGTGTTATCTTGATATTTAGGCCTGACATATTCATCATGAGGAGAAATTCACCTTCACAAGAGGCCTGGCTTGGGGCTGTCTTTTGCCATTTTTTCCCCACCTAAAATGTGCTTAAATCTTTTCTTCAGGGTATTATAAACTATTGGTTCATTTTCAGAATCAAAATTAACCTTAGTGAAAACCTTAACAGTGTGGTCAAGGCAAGCTTCCTCCACCTCCATGGGAATTGTCTATAGGTTCACTATGCACTGCAACACTCAAAGGATCATTTGGTGCGTTCACTATGCACTGCAACACTCAAAGGATCATCTGGTGCTGTCCCTTCTCTAAAAAGAACAGGGTTTCAGTGGCACCTGCGTGTCTGTCAACCAACGTGTCCACATCCTTTTTGGTGATTACAGGCTCCTTTAGTTGCTCCACCAAAGACCACAACAAAGCAGTCAGGATGAAAGGAGCTCTACCACCCACATGTTCTTTCCCATACTCCATTTTGGAAATTTAGTTCTTTCTGCCACATTTCTACCTTCCTTTTCACTTGCTCCTTTTCTACAAATTCATTTAAATTTTCCAGGGCTTTGGCTGCCAGTATCCTCCTTGCTTCAACAGTCAATTCAGATGGCAAGTCAGCACGTGGCACTGCCTCAGATAGACCTTTGCTGTTCTGGGTTTCTCGTCCAACCAAGAATTATGTCTTGGGACTGAAGCCACAGTCCAGAGAGCTGAAACAAGTCTTCCTCTTCCACAGAGCCTCGGTCCCAATCACTGTGTG